CAGATTCCCCTGGATGCTGTGTGGCATTTCAGTTAAGCCTGACAGTGGAGGGGCAGCCTCAGAGAGTAAGGAGGTAGTCGAGGGATTCCAGAAGAAAGATTTGTGACAGGACGGCTCCTGCCTAGTGCCACTAATATCCTCTCGTGCCCTTCCACTGTATCTGATGTCTATGCCACAATTTGACCTTCCTTTTTTCTTTCTTCCCCCTGTGATAACAAAGTTATCATCCCTCTTTCCCCAAGAGGGGAGGTATAGTCCTCTGTAAACAGATCCCCCTCAAGATTGGGTCAGATGTGATCTCAAAGAAGATAAAGGCTAGAAAGCAATGAAGCAAGCCACAGTCCCACGCTGTCGCTCATCCTGAATCCATCATTGATATTATCAACGCTCTTCCCTTACCCTCAGCTAGCCTTTTGCAGCTCTGGGCTACTTGCTGGGCGAGGCTACACGCACTCCTATTTCTGAGAGATCTGCTCTCTTAGCTGCCCATCTTTTTAGAATAGTCATTGTTGAGGTTGTCTGTTGTCAGTTATTACCAGGGGAGAGTTCAAGAGATGCCCCTGTGAATCCCCTGGCTGGGTCCAGACACAGCCCTCCCCACCCTCACTGTGTCTACATGCATTGTATCCACAGCCCAGTTCATCCTGGTCGTCAGAATCAATCAGTGTCCCTGGCCAGTACAGTAATATCCTTTTCTATTGATCCACTGGCATGAGGAGCTTGAGGTGGCCGGGTGGCGCTGCCAGCTTTCAGGTTCATAGAAAGTATACTATGTTCTCTGGTATAAGTTCTACCTCCCTGGAAACTAGAACCTTTAACTGGCAGAGCTAGAAGTTTTGGGGACAAGAGCATGAGATGAGCCCCTTCTGCTTCCACATTGATTCTGAGACCTGCAGTTTCTACGCATAAGAGTCACTGTTCAAAACTAATACCGTCACACAGAGTTCGGGGCCCAACCCACAGGTACCATGTTCTGGCCAGCATCTTCTCTGGGCTGCCCTACTGTTCTACCAGGCTGGCTACTTCTGCGTGATGAGGGACAACCAAGTTAGATCAATGAGTCCATTGATCACCATCACATTACCTCACACCATATACAAAAAATTAAAACGAATCAAATACCTAAATATGAGAGTTGAACCTATGGAAGTCTTGGGCGACTCCATTATTGTATCTTTGGGGAAAGCACTGCAGACAAGGAAGATGAGCCCAAATCTGGAGAAGCACTGATTAAAGACCACTCACTGTTCCAGGGTTGAAGGAGGAGGCTCAGGGTAATTATCTTGGCTACTTTTCTCTCACTGCTGGGGAGAAATACCTGATGCCCTGAATTAAGGATGGAATGGTTTATTCAGCTCACGATTGGTGGAGGTTTCAGGCCATGCTCAGCTGGCTCCAAAGTAGAGTGGCACATGAACTGTTGCAGAGGGCAACAGTTCATGGTGATGGAAAACAGAAAAAGCAACAAGAGCAAAAAGGGAAGAGCAGTGAACAAGCCTCTTTCCCTCCCTTATATTGTATGCAAGCTGCCCACCCCAGGGCAGGTTTAGAACTCATACCCATAATCCCAGCATTGGACCATGAATCAATCATAAATTCTAGAAGCTCGCCCCATGACTGCAAGAGGCTTTGGGGGGACATCTAGACACAAACCATAACAATAATCTACCTGCCAGGAGCTTGGATGGCCTTCTGAGGAAGACAGCCACACTAAGGGCTCAGTATCTGTCTTATCTGTTAGCAGCTTGAGCAGACAGAGTGGTAGAACTAGCTCTGTCCAGCGGAGAGGAAACCAGTGCTACTGGGCATGTGCAAAGCCTCCACGACTGGCACCATGACCACTGTCCCCACTGTGCAAGCCTTTGGAGAGAGACTCATGAGGTACAGCATTATGCCAGCTTGTTGAGAGCCTCCTGGCAGTGGGTGCTCCGCCAGGGGTTTACTTGAGACCCAGAAGTTTACATACTTGGTAGCGACTCCCAGAAGTCATCCATCTGCCTCTTCCATGGTCCCCTTAGTCACTGACTTTTAGTCTTGGTCCTTCAAGCTTCTGACCAATCAAACAAGCCATTCATTCTTCTCCAGGGATCAGGGAATATCCACCCACTTCTGACTAGCTTCGTGTTGAGACAAGGCTGATGCTTTAGTGTATTGTCTCAAGCTTTACACCCTGGAACTCTCTCCATTACCTTTGAGGACTACCCCAGGAGGGCTGTAAGGTGACAGCAGTCCACTTCCAGCTCTCACTGACCTATCACACTGATCCTCTGTGAGCCAGACCCAAGTCCCTTCCTTAGTCACAGGGAATCAGAGAGGTTCCATAAAATTTGTGACCCAGTATGGCCCTTCCACTCCTATTTGTCTGTGACTTCCTCTTTATTCCTGACTCTGGGAAGTGGCCCCTCACATCCAGCTTCTGATCTCCCATCACATCCTTGCCAGATGGGAGTGGGTCTAGGGTACTGCCTGCCCAAGGCCTGAGCTCCCTCATAGCACAACTACTGTGACAACGGCTCCTGCTGACAAAGTGTCCCTCAGGTGCCAGGCATTGTGCTCACATACTGCACAGGACCAGAACACAAATTTTAAGGAGGTCTCAAGATTGTACAAGTCCAAAGTCCTTAAATTTTGTGCCTGAGGGACTCACTTCATTTTAGTCCTGACCATGCCAATAAGCACAAGCAAAAATTTTTTTTTTTAAACTGGAAATGAACTCAGGACCTTGTGCTTGCCAGGCAGGCCCTGTGCTACTGAGCTATATCCCCAGTTCTCATATGTAAAAAAAAATTTTTTTTTTTTTTCCTGTACCAGGAATTGAACTCACAACCTCACTCTTGCCAGGCAGGCGCTGTGCCACTGAGCTAAATCCCCAGCCCTCACATGTAAATTTGATCGCCCCCATTTTATAGATGCAGAAACGGACTCGAAGGTCAATTTGTCAAGGTCACACGGTTTGGGACTGGCACAGCCATGTTTTTCTGACGCTTCACCACCAAGCTGTATTATTCCATTCACCTTAGCCCGGCCCAAGTCCGTGGACAGCTCACTGCCCAGGATTTTCCAGAAGGTCGCGAGCCTTCTTGCTCAGACCGCGGGACGTCAGACCCAGTTCCACTGGACACCTGCTGGCCGCGGGAGAAGCGGACACGTGTCCTGGGCAGCAGCCGCAGAAAGAGGCTGCGGCCAGAGCCAGCCGGAAGAGGGTGCGTTTCCGCATGTGTCCACAAGATGACGCCCCAACACCGAGCCACTGACCTCGGGGGCCGAGTGGGCGGCCCCAGCCGGGAGACCAGGGAGGGTCGGTCAGGGTTGGCCACCCGCCTGGGTCTTCAACCCACTTCGGCTCTCGGAATTTCTGTGTTCCCAGCCCCCTGCCGCACTCCCCGCTGGAGATGGACTGGAGAGGGGAGGCGAGGAGGCTTCCCAGGGCACTTGGGAGAGTCTTCCTTCTTTCCCCTAGAAACTGTCTCTTGCCCGTGCCCGCTCATTCCCTTTCTGAATTCCCCAGGCACTCCCTGTCACTCCCACCGCTTCAGCTTCTGCCAGTCTTCAGAGGCAGGGACCATTAGGGCCGATTCCACAGATTTGGTGATGCAAATACATGCAAATGTATGCAAATCGCCATGTAAAGGAGGCTTGCCACTGTGGTTCTAAGTGGCTGTCACAGCTTCTCTGACACCTGTTCTGAGACAGCTGCCCTGCCCCCTCCTGCTCAAGCTTCTATCTGCTATTTGCCCCCCTTTCTTCCTCCTCCAGGGCTCTGGCTCCTGGACCCCTTTCCTTCAGGGACCCTGGCTGGCTTCTGACTACAAAGGACTCGCTCCTCTCTTTAGAGGGGGCAAGGAGGCATGCATGTTTACTGGGCACAGATTTTGGCATCTGATAACTCCATCATGTCCTGGCCGTGTGACTGTGAAAAAGAAGTTTAACTTCTCTGTTGGAATTCATGATAATACTCGCTTCAAAGGTGTTGCACAGATTCCATGCTACAGGGCACGTAAAGTGCTTATGTAGTGCCTTTCAACCCTGGGAGCCTGTGGCTGTTAACGCTGTGATTGTCACTGACCTTCTTGATCATCATGTATTGCAGGCTGGGACTTGGAGACAGATCTGTGATGGACACAGCTCAGCCATGTGCACATGTGTGCATCCCTGTGGGTGTGCACATGCGCGCATGCACACACACACACGCACACAGCTGACAGCCTCATGCGCTGGTGGGGCGCACGCGCGGGTACACACATTCAGAAACACACAGGAGGAGGCTGTGGGAGGTGGAATCTGAGTCATCAAGACCAGAGCTGTGGGTGGTGCTTTTGTCCTGATTTCCGGACCTCAGCACTGCATTTCGAACAAGGAAATGGATGGAGGATGGCACAGCTTACCCACCAGCTGAAGGGCCAACTGTGGGAGCCCCTTTCTCGCATCTGCCCCTTCCCCAGGCCTGCTGTCCTCCTGGTCCCAACCCAGTTCCACGTCATCATCTGCTCCTCTTCCTGTGCTCCTCTCCCTCCTCCCTCGAAGCCCAGCAGGTGGGGTAGGGCAGGTCCTGTTTGCCTTGACATCAGAGCAGGCTCTGATTATGTCACAAGACAGGTGTGTCTGCAGTGACTGCTTCCTGAGGAGGCCCTGGGTGATTGAGGAGGAGACTTGGGAGACAGCATAGGGTGCTAGTTAAGAGCCCTGCCCTGGGAAGGAGATAAGCCCAGGTTCAAGTCCTAGCTCTGGCTCTGTGTTACATTTTGCAGTTGTTTTAAGCTATTTGGGCTTCAATTTTTTTGGCAGTGAAAGGAAGCCAGTCATGCCTAACTTGTGGCTTTGTGACTTCCCTTGAGATCATGTATGTAAACATGCACTTCATTCAGGGCTGCCCAGGTCTGGACAATGCTGACCGGCAGTGGGGGCAGATCTGGGCAGCCATACCATCAGCAGTTTGTCTTCTTCCCTGGAGCTGTTGGGAGAAGGCCTGAGGGAAGGACAGGGACAGTTCCACCCAGTACCTGGGGCTTCAGGGGCCACCTTCTAGGTGCGTGTGGGCTGGGAGATCATAGGCAATTGTCCAGCTTTTCTTCTCCGCCTGGAGATGACTAGTCAAGATGAGTTGGAGCCATGACCTTGGAGAGAGGAAAGAAAGGACGCTGCTGTTCCTGTGTCTAACCTCCCAACAGCTCCGTGACCTAGGTCTCCGCATCCCCAGCATACAAGACAAGAAGAAATGGAGTAACTGCCCCAGAATGCACCATCTGTGAGTAGAGAAACTGGGATTCCAGTCAGCTCCCAATCCGTGTGTTCTACCTTACCTCAGATATCAGTGGTTTCCACTGATTCATGTGGACTCCCTGAACGTGCCATCAGCACTTGGTATCTGCTCCTCAGATGTGCAGCCCCTGTCCCCAAAGCCACTTAAGGCTTCTCCAGCCCTAGAGGAGGAGGGGTCTTTATTTCCCAGGTCAGTCTCTTGAGAGTCTGGTTCGAGAGAGTTAATCCATTGCTGGGAAGAATCCCCAGGTGTATGCACCTGGCTCCTAGCCAAGGTTCTATGACATCAGGGAAGGGACACAGGTGCAGGGGACACAGGTGCATGAAGATGGGGGTGGGGCAGGGGCAACCTAGACACCTGCTGAAGTTCAGCCCAGTGCCAGTGAGGGGTGGGCAGGGAGGGGAAGCAGCAGATGGACAGGGTCGGTGGGGGTGGGGATGCTGAATTGGCTCTGCAGCTCAAGGTGACTCGAAAACCTGCCAGGAAGAGGAAAGTATGAAGGAGCAGAACAGGAAGAAGGAAAAGAAAGTCACAGTGGAGGAGAAACTGAGGCAGCTGAGGGCAAGGATGGAGGGGTTGGGGTGCTGGACCAAGATGGGAGAGTGTGCAAGCTGTGGGTCAGTCAGCACAGGCTAACTTAGCCCAAGCCTACCATACCGCAAGTGCTGTGTGGCTAGCGGCTACACACAGGGAGCAATTAGTGCCCATCTACAGTGTCTCTAGTCCCCCTCTACTGACCCTAAACCTTACGCAGGTGACCAGGCATAGGGCCTTAGTCACTGATGGGTCTGGGAGGGCTTGGTCAGAGGCAAAGAAAGGACGCTGCTGGTTCCAACTCCAGTCTGATCACATGCTTTTTTCCCCTAAGGTAACAGCCACCCTTTTCCTCTGCGCCCAGCTACCTTGTTCCTTGCACATAGTAGGTGCTCAAAGAATCTTCATGGAAAAGATAAATACTGCTTGTCAGGTGGCTGGAAACTTGTTCAGTAATTACACCTCCGCTAACTTCCTGTCAGCAAATATTTCTAGCGCATCCACCTTGTGCTAAGCACAACAAGACCCAGTCCCTGCCCTCATGATCTCTCACATCAGCAGAGAGTGCGAAGGGGCAATGAGTGTTACCGAGGTGACTTCAGGGACATTTCCAGACCAAGGCCCATAGGAACAGGCAGCCAATGCTTGGAGGAGAAAGCTGTGTGTGGTTAGCCTGGGTTGGGGAGCCAGCCCCTGGGGCCCTCTGCAGCAGGCCCTTCCCGGCCCCAGCGGTGATTAAGGTCCTTGTGGCTGGTTACTCGGCAGCCAGGCCGGAAGAGAAAGCCAGTAATTAACAAGCTGGCACTCACACAACCGCATGTCAGCACGCCCAAGCGCTGGGATAGCTGTCTGTCAGTCGTAGCTGCTGGTGGAATTTTTTAGACAGCTGGGCTCAAGCCGGGAAATGAATATAAGTTACATTTCTATGCATCGTTGTTCGTGGTGGTAAAAAAAATTAATCAGTGACATAGCTGTGACACATACTCATTTAAGAGTCTACAGAGAAATGTTCATTTGTCAGAGGCAGCAAAGAAGAGATTATGTGTCAACCGGGGAGGGGTGAAATATTTATACAATGGCTAATAAACACCGGTGTGTAAGGGGGTCAATTGATTGTGTCAGTGGCCACATGACAAATGTACCATTGAGCGGCCATGGGCACTGCCCCTGTGCCCGGGGGCGCCATTCTGATGACAAATACAAAATGTGTTACTGTTAATGCTCCCCACCGACCACCCATGCAGCCCTCTTTGCTGGCTGGGCCTGAAGATTGCTGGGAAGCAGAACTCCTCTGGAAGCTGCCTACCCCCAACTTCATTAAGTTGAGTTTAAAGTTGGTAAATTACTCCCCAAATGCCAAAACAGCTGCAAAAATCATTTCTTTGTGTGTGCTGTTTTTTAAAACTTCATGTTTTTGAATTTCAAAAGGCCAGAAGAAATGACTGGCCTTGCTCTCCGCCTCTACCAAAACCTATCACCAAGGTGGCCCATGTAGCCCTTGGCCCCACCCGACTCTGCGCACCAGCTGGCCCTGTGGTTGATTTTCCTGCTGTCACAGCTGAGCCAAGCCCCACCTTGTTCCTTACACAGAGCGGAGAGTCCCTAGGCACACTGACCCTAGGCAAGCTGATCCATCAGTCCTGGACACTCACCTCTCATCTCATAAGGGGACACCTGACCCCTCAGGCAGGAGGCTCCTTCTCAAGCCGATGTCATGAGAAGCAAGTGCTGGGGGCAGCTTTCAAGCCAGTCAATCTTTCCAGAGGAGGAGGAGATCATCCTATCAGTGCTGGCTGATTGCTACTAGTTTCTGAGTCTTGATCATGTACCGGGCTCTGTATCAACCACTCTCCGTGCATTATTTCCTTCACACAGCCCTTGAAGTGGGTCTAATTATTGTTCAGAATAGGTGAAGAAACTAAAACCTGTTGGAGGCCTGTGATTTGAACCCACTGGGAGGATGCCAGAGCACAGCATTCTTGGTCCTAGTTCACCTGTATGATCTGTTGCAGTTTTCTGTCTTGCGGTTAACACCAAAAAAAATCTTAATTCCCTAAGCTTAATTCAGATTTTAAGAAATGAGCTGAGAATACTGGGAGACTGTAAATTTCTACAGCATGGGGCTAGCCCAGACTCTGTTCAGAGCACGCACTCCAGAAAACTTGGCTGATTCTATCTCCTATCTTACCTGGTGCAAGTAGAGCTGCTTCTGGTCCCTCAAGTATCCCCCGTCATCATCCTAGTTTAGAAACTTGGGTGTTGTCATCCCCTGTAGGCTGAGAGAGGCCCCCTCCATTCTGTTGCACCTGATCCCAGCCTTGAGTTCGCTGCTGGTTGCTGTAACACTCCTATCATTCCTGTGACATCCAACATCCGTCATCTGATTTGGGATGGGCTGACACTCTGAGGAAATAGTTGCAGATGAAATTTCACACGTCTCTGTGAATGTGGAGATTGCAGATAAGTGCACGTTGCAACTTGTTTTTACTTTTTTAAAATGAGATTTCTCCCTTACAAAGTTGTACTCCTCCTTGGGGTTCCCAACCATGGGGCTGCTTGTAATATTAACAATAGCGATAATAATAGAGGTTGCATTTATTGAGTATGTATTTCATGCTAAGGGCTTCATGTATTTTGGTTAATCCTCACAATGATCCCATTTTACAGATGAGAAAACTAAGAACCAGAGAGATAGAGTAAATTTGCCCACAAATGCATAGCTAGTAGGATTTGAACCCAGGGGTCCCACTTCAGAGTCCTAGACTCTTATTCATGAGGTTCAAGTTCAACCCTGAGGCACAGTAGTGGCCCCACCCAGCCCAGCCCCTGGCTTCAGCCACTTCAAACTATGTTAGCTCCCCAGCTGGCCTTGTGCTGTTTTGCCTCTGAACCTTAGTAGATGCCATTTCCACAGTCTGAAATGCCTTTCCTGCTGCCTGCTCTCAGATGAGTATCTCACCGGGCATTGCTGAGGGGAAGCTCGGGCTGTCAGCTCTCACCCCTTCCATGTCACCCCTAAGCCACCAGAGGCTCCCCCAAGCTCTGGTCCAAAGGTGTCCTGGAAGGCTGCCTTCCTACACCCCCACCCCTGCAGGGGTGGCTCCAAGGGCCTAGTACCAGGGATGGCTGAGAAGCTCCTGCATGAAAATGAGCAGTAGGGCCAGGGATTTAGCTCAGTGGCATAAGCGCCTGCTCAGCAAGCGCAAGGTCCTGAGTTCAATTCCCAGTACCAGAAAAAAAGAAAAGAAAAGAAAATGAGCAGTACCCTCTGTCTCCTTCCTGCCTGCAGCCTCCAGAGCATTGTTACCACAGATCTGACCAGGTCCCCACCTGCCACAGCCCCACCTCCAGGAGCGCCTCCCCTCCCCTCTTTCCCATTCATTCTCCTCTGTCCCGCCTGGGCTCCAGCCACTGCTTCACTTACACTGTCCTTGAACAGGTTGGGCTCCGTCCAACCTATGGACCCATTTGCCTGAATGTTCTCCCCACTTCCTTCTCTGCCATCTGCCCTCTACTAATCTTTCAAGATTCATCTCACAGACCCCTTCCAGGAAGATTTCCTAGATTTCCCCCACCTGGCCTAGTTACTCTGGAGCAGGAGACTGAGCCACTGGGCCCTGGCGTATTCCTAATGCCAGGCACAGGGGAAGGGCCCGTGAATATTTTTTAGATGAAGGGGTGAATATGAATAACCTGGAAGTGCAAAGAGCTCCATGAAGAGATTTGTCCAAGGAACCTACACTCCAAGGATGAAGTTCTGGAGGTTTGATCTGAGCAGGGGGTTTGCCTAAGCCTGAAAGAGCCTAGCAGGGTTAAAATCTGAGACTGTTCAATGAGCATTGTTTGAATTATCACTGTATCTAGCATCTAAATACCCTGTGTGACACCAGGCAAGTTACTTAACTTCTCTGAACTTGGCCACCTCATCAGTGACAAGGGGGATAATAATATTGCCAACCTCATAAGGTTGTATTGGAGAATTAAATGAGATAATTCAAATTGTGTATGGAGCTCAACAATGATTTGCTGTTAAGAGAATGAATGGAGCACAGTACAGTGGTACATGCCTATAAATCCAGCACTGTGGGAGGCTGAGGCAGGAAGACGGCAAGCTCAAGTCCTGCTTGCGCAGCTGTCTCAAATAAAAAAGGGCTGAGGATATAGTTCAGTGATAGAATGCCCCTGGGTTTGATCTCCAGAACAGAGAGAGGGAAATGAGTAGAAGAGCTGGGAGGGTTTGCATTTTAGATGACTCCAGGCCTCAACCTCAGCATCCTCTGTCAGGGCATAGTTAAAATCACTGCGCTGTGAGGACCTTACATCCTGGGTCCAGCTCTGATCCCCACGGGCTGTGTGACCTTAGACAAGATTCTTTCCTCTTAGAATCTTGGTTTTTTTCCCCTTCAAAATAAGGACATTAATTCCTTTCCCAGAACTACCCAATAGGATTATTGTGGGAGATCATATGAGATAATATATATGAAAATGCTTTGAAATATGCTCAGGGCTATATAAATACAAGGGATTATGGTTATCTACAGGCAGTTTGTAAGGGCTTAATTATTAGCATTCACAGGCACTGCAGCTTTGGCGCAGCCCTGCAGATGTACCCTGGGCAGCTCCTCAGCAGGAAGGCCTCACAGAGAAACTGAGGCGGGGTTGCTAGCATGCGTGCAGGGATCCTTGGCAGTGGAGGGCACAGAGGTGGAACAGCACTGGTGGCTCCTCTCAGGCCTGGTCCCCAGTCTTGGGACCCCCACACATGCTCGCAGAGGCGGGATTCTGCAGGAAGAGGGGCAGACACCCCCAGCATCAAGTGCAAGGCGCTCTGGCTGCTGCCAGGAGTGGCTCTTCTGCTTTGGTCCTGGCGGCTCCTCAGGCTGGAGGAGCTGAGACAGGCTCCAGCAGGCAATGACTTGGCATTTGCTAGACCTGGCTGGCTGATGAGAGCCTCACTGCATTTGCAGACCCAGGGCTGTGTTGTCTGAAGGGTGAGAAGGCCGGGTCCAGTCTCAGAGCCAAAGCAGGGGCAATGGTGGCCCTACTCCTCATCAGGAGGGGCAGCCAAGGTGGAAAGGATGGATGGACGGCTATGGAGAGAGGAGGTGGAAAGAGGAGGGGTGGAGAAGTGTCTTGAGATACTAGAAGTCATTCACAAGAAGGTGGGGATGGAGACTCAGAAGGAGGGGCTAAACCACAAGGAGCCCCGGTGCTGTCCTCCTTTATTTATTCATTCAGTGTCTTTCGCAGCACCTACTCCTTGAGGGGCAGTGAAGATAGAGCAGTAAACAGGAAGCAGCCGCCCTGGCCTTGAGGAGTTTCCAGTCTGGCCAAGGAGGCAGGCACAGATATGTGTTTCAAGGCGGAGTTCAGGAGATTTAGAGGGAGGTAAAGAGACTCTCCCCAGCCTTGGTGGCTAGGGTAGACTCAGCTCAATTCAACAAATATTGACTGATCACTTCTATGGATGAATCAATACACAAAGTCTCTGTCCTCAAAGCATTATTGTTTAGAAGGGAAACTGTCCCAGGAAGGAGGAATTATACCTATAAAGGCAGAGGCAAGAGAGGCCAAGGCGGAATTGGAACACAGTCCCACGCCCCGTGAGGGTATGCAGGGCTTGGTCTAGGGTAGAGAAGGGTGTTCAGGTTGGCATGGTTGAAAGGCCCCTCTCAAGTATCCATTGGCAGCATGGCGGGTGAAGAGTGTCCCTCACAGCCTCTGTCCCCCATTCTGCACCAGCAGGCTGCCTGGAAGGGAGGGAGGGTGCATCGAAGCTGCATGTCTCAGCAGCTGCAGAGACTGTGTCTGTCACTGACCAAATGTGGGCAGGACCGAGTATCTTGTGTCTGCCTGACGCCTCTTCACACCTTTATTAGCGTCGGTGGTGAGCTGGCCAGGAATGAACAACAGTAGTGGCTCACGTGGACGTGGCACCTCTGTCCATTTCAGTTTCGCAAGAGATCTCTCCGGCAAGCAGCGCCAGGCCTCCCACTCCCAGGTTACAGGTAGAGATATTAATAACAGCCGACGTTACCCAGCACCCACTGTGGAGGCTCAGCGCATAGATCTCCTCAGTGAATGCACTCAGCAGCCATCCCTGCTTCACAGACTGAAGAGACCAAGCAATCGCCCAAGGGCACACAGCTTGTAAACAGCAGAGCTGGGACTCAGCCCCTTTCCCCCTGACCTCCTGTCCTTTCCCGGGCCACCTCGGCCTCTCCTTCCTCCTTTCATCTATTCCTGAAGAGTAGGGGTAGCAACTTGAATGGGTAGCTTGCCCAAATGGGTAGTAACCTGAATCTGCCAGAACAGCCCCATCTCCTGAGCTCAAGATGCAGATTTGCCCCTTCAGGCCTCTGTCCATGGCGAGCTCTGTGCTCCCCTTAATTCTTCCAGAGCTGGGACCCCCTCCTGCTACCATCTCAGAGCCTCACTTGGTCAGAGCAGCCAGGAGAGGCAGAATCAACGTGCAGAGAACTCGGTAATAATCCCAGTACAGGCAGCCGAGCTGCTGTATAAAGAGAGATTAAAAACTCATCGGGTTGAGATGAGGAAGTAATTCAGCCGGTTGGCCACAGTGGGAAAGCCTGCGACTGCAGGTGCTAGTGGTGGTACATGTGAGCCAGTGCTAAGGATGCCAGCGTCTCTGGCCTTGGGAATCTGCATCCCCACCACCACCTCAGTTCCACCCCCAGAGCCACCTTCCTTTGTTGCCTGCCTTGAAGCCAAGGCTGACAAATCCCGGTCCCCCAGGGAGCACTGAGGGGGTGGCAGGCTGGGGGAAGCCGAGAGCAGTTGCTGCCTAGCTCCACACCCTGGTTTATTTTCTCTGCAGCGTTGAAATTATTTTGCTCATTTATTTGTTTACC